CTACCTGCTTCCATGTGTCCAGGCTGAAATAAGACAAACGTGGTCAGTAAGCACCCCTGCAGAACGCGGGTCCAGGAGAGCGGGAGCCCGGATGTGGGAATGACTGTGAAAGTAACCTCAGGAGCAAGCAGGTGAGACCTGGGTGGGAGCGGAGTGGAGGCAGTGGAAACAAAGGAGGGCGAGGAAGACGACTCAACGGGAGGAAATGCTTGTAACCACAACTCACTGACCAGGACAGTTTCTCTTGTAACGTTTTCCACCATGGATGTGTTCTCACTTTCTCATTTGTAACAAACACATTTAGCCAAGCCTAGGACTCCTCTCATTTGCACATGTGATAAATATTCACCGAGCACCTGCAAGGTGGCTGCACCCTCGGCTAAGTACGGGGTGCGCTGGAGCAAAGCCACAAGAAGCCACAATCCCCAACCTCATCTAATGAGGAAGGACAGACGACAGTCCAGGAGTTAGGCTGTCAGGACAAATGAGAAGGGCCACACAGAGGAAAAGAAGGCCAGTCGGTGGCCAGAAAAGTCTCTTCGAAGGAGGAACTGACCAGTGCCGTGGCTCAGTCGGTTGAGCGTCTGACTTCGGCTCAGGTCATAATCTCACGGTTCAGGGGTTCGAGCCCTGCATCAGGCTCCGTGCTGACAACTCAGAGTCTGGAGCCTGCTTCGGATTCTGTGTCTCACTCTCTCTCTCTCTCTCTCCTCCTCCCCTGTTCGTTCTCAGTCTCCCTCTTTCAAAAAATAAATACACGTTAAAAGAAAAAATTGAAGGAGGAACAACTGACTACCTCTCACGCTCCAGGTCTCAGGTACTCGGGAAAAGAGAGGACAGGAAGAAAGATCAGCGTTTCTGCAAGGACGCAGAGCACTTTGCTACTCGAAGCAATGAAAGGCAAGGACAGCAGCTAGAAGAGAGAGGTACCAACAAGAAGGACACAGGGTCGTGAGAAGGGGACTGGATTTTATTAAGAACCAACCCAAGAGTTTTGAGAAAACTGCTGTAGGTGTTTTTAAAGGGGCGCCTGGGTGGCGCAGTCGGTTATGCGTCCGACTTCAGCCAGGTCACGATCTCGCGGTCTGTGAGTTCGAGCCCCGCGTCAGGCTCTGGGCTGATGGCTCGGAGCCTGGAGCCTGTTTCCGATTCTGTGTCTCCCTCTCTCTCTGCCCCTCCCCCGTTCATGCTCTGTCTCTCTCTGTCCCAAAAATAAAAAAAAAAAAAAAGACCACTGCACTCCATACAGAGAACTGTACCGACAGGACAAAAGCGGGAAGCAGTCAGGAAGCTATTACAGCTGCACGGGGAACAGGAAGACCAGACCACCCTCCTACCTCATAGTCCCACCGTGCACTTTATACTCACTGTGCTCAATTTATGTAGTAGCCGTTCTAGACAGCAGTGCCTTGAGTCATTTCTAAGCTATTAAATTAGTACCAAATCTCAAAACATCGAGTCATTTTGTCCTGACAATTACTATCCAGCTAAGTTTATAATAAAAATGGGAACCTGAAAATGTAAAATCATGGGAAAAACTTATTTTGGTCTTTTCCCAAATCTAAATAATAATTTTGATACTGTATATCTTGTCTTGTTTTGTAAATGTGGGAACACGACTAAAAAATTCATAGAACTGTATTTTCTTTTATACTCATTAACCACAAAAGGCTTTGATGCTAGATAAAAATTAGAAAATGAAGGAAAAACCAATTTCCCAATCTGGGGTGGCAAATTATCACGAGGACCCACAGAACACCTGTCCCCAGGAGTTAGAAATGTGCTGCGCTGACTCATTACCCATCCTGGGGTCCCCAGCACCTTATAAGCCCTCCTGTCTGGACATTTAACTAAACAATTATTTCCTGAGGGCCAGCCCTGCACCAGCTCTTTTCTCCAAGAAGCAGAGAACACAGCAGCAGCTGCCACATCCCCCTCCAGCTGTGGGCATCTGGCTAGAAGACCCCGCCCCCCGCAAGGCTGCCTGGGTCCAGCAGTTACTCCCTAGTGCCCTACCAGCAGCGACAGGAGCCCTGGGAGAGGGAGGGACTTTTAGCCAGCAGAAATGGCTAACAAGTTCCTACATGATGCTTCCCTGCAGACAGGAACAGAAGACAAAATGGAATGGAGTTTTTCCACACACCAAGGATTCCCCAACAGCTGACTCCGACCTGGAAGACAATCTGGTAACAATGTCCGCCACAAAGTTATGCTTCTGCTGCCGGCCTGGGTTGTGCCCTCCATCACTCAGCAACCTTGGGGAACGTGCCTTGCTCGGCTATCACTTATTCTGATAAGCAGAGCAATTCAAATGAGTCCCCATTGCAGTAGAACAGTCTACTTCCCTCTCTCACTGAGTGATAAACTGTCCATTCGCACTTGAGAACCAGCGCAGTGACCGGAAAACCGCTCTTCCCCAGTTAGGAGATACAGCAAGAGCTTTTTGGCAATGAAGCAAAGAAGAGTTAAGGTCTAGACACTGTGATTAGCCAAATAAGATCAATAAAAAAAGTTGTATGTGTATGGTGGGGAAGGTGTCCTAATAAAATAGGAAACTGAATTTTCAGGTTTTGCTCATTTAACTTTTTAGTTATTAAAAGTTTTAATTAGTGGGGCGCCTGGGTGGCTCAGTCGGTTAAATGACTTCAGCTCAGGTCACGATCTCACGGTCTGTGAGTTCGAGCCCGATATCGGGCTCTGTGCTGACAGCTCAGAGCCTGGAGCCTGCTTCTGATTCTGTGTCTCCCTCTCTCTCTGCCCCTCCCCCACTCATGCTCTGTCTCTCTCTGTCTCAAAAAAAAAAACAAAAACATTTTAAAAAAAATTTTAATTAGTAGTTACTTATTTATCCAGTATTGACCATCAGCCAATATTGTCCCCAGGAAGCCAACTGGTAGTAAGATCTATCTCACAGGCAAAGTTGCAAGGCGGCCGTGAGCCCTAGTGGCCAGCATTCTTGTGTCATTGTGCACACTGCATTCAAAGGACCAGTGGCCTCTCAAATAATTTCTGACTTTTGGAATAAGGACAAAAGGAAGCTATGAAAGCACATGGGCTCGTTCCCATGCTCGCCACATCTCCTTTTTAGCAGTGGCTTTTCCGAATAAGCTCTCTGTGATGCTCCTGCAAACCAGATGCTGTCCTGGGAAAAACACACATGTGCATATTCACACAAAACGTGGTGAACAATTTTAGGACATTAAGAAAAAAAATGCCTCGGGATGCCTGGGTGGCTCGGTGGGTTAAGCGTCGACTCCAGCTCAGGTCATGATCTCGCGGTTCCTGAGTTTGAGACCCACGCTGGGCTCACAGCCTGCAGGCTGCTTCAGATTCCGTGTCTCCCTCTCTGTCGGCCCCTCCCCACTCGCATTCTCTCTCTCTCAAAAATAAATAAACGTTAAAAAGAAAATTTTTTTTTGATGCCTTGATGTTTATCCAGGAATTTTTAGGCCAAGAATCTCCATTGTCACTAGTAGAGCCTCCTTTGCAAATCTGAGAACAGCGTGGGCGAGGAGAAAAGCAGGTGGTGGCAATGAGAGGTGAAGGAACACCCCGACAGCAACCGTGAGCAATGAGACTCACAGCCACACTCTGAAGGCCTCCAGCCAAGACACAGAGTACTTCCTCATGCACCTGGCAAAGAGCGAGCTAACGATGCTATGACCTGAACTAGGCAGGTGCTAAGAGATATGACAGCAGCCAGCCTCGGACATAGCTCACAGTTCCTGCTCTCATGTGGCTCTGAGGACCAAGAGAAAGACCATCAATTACCCTGACAAATAATTATAAACGGAGATATGTAGTGGAATGAAGGAAATATATTTTAGGAGGGCTCACGACAGAAGAACCGACCTATGACTGTGGCTCACAGAGGTGTCCCTAGTAAGGCTGAGGTGACAGCTAACCGGTACAGAAGTCATCTCTGCGGAGATGGGGGCAGGGGATAAAGTTAACACAAATCTTCCAGAGTAAGGGCAACAGAAGGAAAGACTGTGGTGGAGAAAGTGTGGAGATGAGGAAATTACACCATGAAATTAGGAAAATGTTTTTCTCTTATTAACACCTTTCTTCTTAGCCTGTTACTTACCTCCTCATAAAAATAGCGTATTGATGCTGGGGTGGTTGGAACAATTAAAATGGACAATATAAATATGGCACTTAATAAAACGTGCTGGCTTATAGTAAGTGCTCACTAAATGTTACAGGTGATGAAAACTACAGCGCAGTTAAGAGAACCTGTGCTCTAGTAAAACTACCTGAATACTCAACCCCACAGTCAATGTAAGCAGTTCCTACGGTCACCAATTACCAATACCTAACGCAAAATATAAGCAACTTAAATATTTTAATAATGGCTTGCTCTTAATTTTCGCTCATGTAAATGTGCTACAAAGAGCTGTAATTAAAATATTCCAGAAATACAGGTCATCTCCACTATAGGACTATAGTATACTTCACCAAGGAGATGTTTTTGTTTTTTTTCGTTTTTTTCTTTTTTTTAAGCAAAACAAGTTGCTTTTGTTATATAATTACAATATAATTACTATGTTTTCTAACTAGAATGCCATTCGAAATGGACTGTTCATGGAGTTCATTTTGGTTTAACATTATTTAAATAATACAAAAAGCTACTGAAAAACCGTTCTTTAGAAAAGTTAACAATCTTCAAAAACAGTTCGAAATGTATTCTTATTTAACAAGCTAGGGTATAATCCAAGAAGGAAACCTTTGTTATTTTCATTTTGCCTCTAGGGAAAGCATTACACGCGTGCTCAACTCAGAGAACCTTTCCTTTCCACAGACGTTTGCGGATATTCACAGAAAAAGGGAAATATACCCTTTTCAGATACATGTTCTCTCAGCTACAGCACCTTTGACTACTGAGCACATTTTTCCTAAACTTAAAGATCTGCAATACACCTCCTGGCCCGAGTCTTCTGACAGATAAGAACTGAGAACACAAGACTGGTAACTTGTGCACTGCAAAAATGCAACATTACCTGGAAAACTAGTCTTCATCACATCAATTCCAACTTGTAGCTCAGGTTCAGCAGCGAGCACAGCATAGTCCCCTTGATGAGAGATGTTAAAGTTGAAATTGGGGTAAGGATTCAAGGAGTCTTTCGCAAGAACTGGTTTTCCCTTTGCAGTTCTCTGCAAACGAATATTATTCCAAGGGATATTCAATTTCTCTGCAACTAATTTCCTCATCATCAGACGACCGGCCTGTTAAGTAAGCAAAACACATAGTATGTACTGATGTGTACTAAAGATTCAAATACGCTGCGTGTAACAAAGTCCATTTTTGTGGTTTCTAAAATATATTCATTTTTAGGTGTTCAAAAGTACGGAAGTACTAAACATACTGCGTTAAGACTTCAGCAATGCTTAAGAAGCTAGAAGAAAAGGTCAAAGTCTCTCCCGTCAACAAGTCACCAATGTTCACATTCGGCACCCTTCTGGTCTTTTCACGACGTGTCTAAATAAATATGTGTTCATTTAGCTATGCTTTTGCTATCTATCTCATATATGAGATCCTACTCTAAGCGGGCCTGCACCATCCATAAGCTTTATAACGTGCAAGTGCTGGGAATTATTTCATGTCTGTACACATGGATCCAGTCTGTACCCTTTTAACTGTAGCATAGTACTTCATACTCTCAAGGTCCTCCTCTTGATGGACTACTTCCCTATTACCGGACATTTCGGCTGGCTCTAGTTTAGCTATTATAAACAATCTCCCAAGGAACCACCCTGTTGTTCCTACATCTTTCTGCCTATGTCCAAGTACATGCAGACCCTATAGACACATCACTCAGCTACAATAATTAACAAGTCAGGGACACCTGGGTGGCTCAGTAGGTTATGCGCCTGACTCTTGATTTCAGTTCAGGTCATCATCTCAAGATTGGTGAGATCAAGCCCCATGGTGGGCTCTGTGCTGACAGCATGGGAGTCTACCTCTCCCTATCTCGGCCCCTCCCCCCATTCTCTGTCTCTCTGAACACACACACACAATTAGCAATGCATGACTTACTTCACATATACCTCATACCTCTCCCAGTGTCCCACGTCTTTAATTAGTAAATAAATTACTAAAACCACACAAAAATACCCAAAGATATGAAGTAACAAAACATATGATATTTTATAAAATACCTTTCAAGTATTTTCCCCTTCCATTCTAACAATGATTTTTAAAACTCACAACGCTCTGCATTACGGTTTCTTACAAATTATAAAAAAAAAGTTTTAAAAAAATTCACCAATATGCCTTCCAAACATTATCAATTAGCCCACCTTCTAAAGGAAAAGGCGTTTCCATACAGAGGCATTTTCAAGAACTGGCGGTCTTTAAAGTGATGGTAACTACAGGCTACTTCAAAATGCTGTCTACAGAAGAGATAACTTCCAAATGCAACTTTCCATATGTTGCTTAAAAATATATCACTAAAATAAGTAATTCCGTTTAAACCATCGTTCCCCAAGGTATAGAGTCAGTACGGGGGTATGCCTAAGACGGCCCCTCCCCGCGGCCCGGGCCTTCTCTTTTCGGTCCAGGACCCCTCCCCTCAGCCCAAGAACCCTCCCCAGTATTCGGCCCTCCTCCTCGCCGCCCAAGACCCCTCCTGGGGCTCAGTCCCCCCTCTTCGCGGCCCAGGAACCCTCCTCGGGACTGGGCCCACCCACATCCCCGCGGCCCAGGTCCCCTCCCTGGGGCTCGGCCCATCCCTCCCCGCGACCCAGGTTCCCTCCCCGGGCTCAGCTCCCCGTCTCCGCGGCCCAGGACTCCTCCTCGGGACTCGCCCCCACTCCCCGCGGCCCGGGGCCCTTCCCCGCGATCCAGGAACTCTCCCCGGAGCCCAAGTCCCCTCCCCAAGGCACAGGTCCCCTTGCCAAGACTCGGCCCTCCTCCTGGCGGCCCAGGACCCCTACCCGGGACCTTGGGCCCCCTCCCCAGGGCTCGACCCACCCCTCCCCACGGCCCGGGCCCCCTCCCCGCGGTCCAGGAACCCTCTCTGCAGCCCAGGTCCCTTCGCCAGGACTCGGCCCATCCCCCTCCCCGCAGCCCAGGCCCCCTCCCTCAGGCCCAGGACCCCCT